AACTCAAATTGAATTTTTTTGCGCGTCATAAATTTAAGCCAAAAAAATATTTTTTCTGCTTCAGCTATTTTTTCACGTGAAAAAAAGTCTAAATTTTGGTTGGTCTGCTACATTAAGCGGTGGTAAAAAAATGGGAAATCCCGTGCATTAGCGGCAAACTGCGCTATCTAGGAGGGGCGCTAACACTATCGGAAGTCACCAGTGACACTAATACAGGTGATCAGTAAAAATCTGTTTCACTGTAATCAATGACAATGAAACTGGTGACAGGGCAGTGAAGGGGTTAACTGGGGGGGGGGCGATCAAGGGGTTAAATGGGATTTCTGGTGCACTTAGCGGGCAAACTGGCGCTATCTGGGAGGGGCGCTAACACTATCGGAAGTCTCCAGCGACACTGATACAGTGATCAGTAAAAATTGGTTCACTGATCAGTGACACTGTGTGACAGGGCAGTGAAGGGGTTAACTGGAGGGGGGGGGGGGCAATCAAGGGGTTTTAAACGGGATTACTGGTGTACTGGCGGGCAATCTTGGCGCTATCTGGGAGGGGCGCTAACACTATCGGAAGTCGCTGCAGCGACACTGATACAGTGATCAGTAAAAATCGGTTCACTGATCAGTGACACTGGTGACAGGAAGTGAATGGGTTAACTGGGGGGGGCAGATTAAGGGGTTAAATGGGATTTACTGGTGTACTAGCGGGCAATCTGGCGCTATCTGGGAGGGGCGCTAACACTATCGGAAGTCGCCAGCGACACTGATACATGTGATCATAAAAATTGGTTCACTGATCATGACACTGGTGACATGGCAGTGAAGGGGTTAACTGGGGGGGCGATCAAGGGGTTAAACAGGGATTACATGGTGTACTGGCGGGCAAACTGGCGCTATCTGGAGGGGCGCTAACTCTATCGGAAGTCGCCAGCGACACTGATACAGTGATCAATAAAAATTGGTTCACTGATCAGTGACACTGGTGACAGGGCAGTGAAGGGGTTAACTGGGGGGGGGGGGGCGATCAAGGGGTTAAAACGGGATTACTGGTGTACTGGCGGGCAGTCTGGCGCTATCTGGGAGGGGGCGCTAACACTATCGGCAAGTCGCCAGCGACACTGATACAGTGATCAGTAAAAATTGGTTCACTGATCAGTGACACTGTGACAGGGCAGTGAAGGGGTTAACTGGGGGGGGGGGTGATCAAGGGGTTAAACGGGGATTACTGGTGTACTGGGGCGGGCAAACTGGCCCTATCTGGGAGGGCGCTAACACTATCGGAAGTCGCCAGCGACACTGATACAGTGATCATAAAAATTGGTTCACTGATCAGTGACACTGGTGACAGGGCAGTGAAGGGTTAACTGGAGGGGGGGGGCGATCAAAGAGGGTTAAACGGGATTACTGGTGTACTGGCGGGCAATCTGGCGCTATCTGGGAGGGGCGCTAACTCTATCGGAAGTCGCCAGCGACACTGATACAGTGATCATAAAAATTGGTTCACTGATCAGTGACACTGGTGACAGGGCAGTGAAGGGGGGGTTAACTGGAGGGGGGGGGCGATCAAGGGGTTTAAACGGGATTACTGGTGTACTGGCGGGCAAACTGCGCTATCTGGGAGGGGCGCTAATCTTCTATCGGAAGTCGCCAGCGACACTGATACAGTGATCAGTAAAAATTGGTTCACTGATCAGTGACACTGGGTGACAGGGGCATGAAGGGGTTAACTGGAGGGGGGGGGGCGATCAAGGGGTTAAACGGGATTACTGGTGTACTGGCGGCAAACTGGCGCTATCTGGGAGGGGCGCTAACTCTCTATCGGAAGTCGCCAGCGACACTGATACAGAGTGATCAATGTAAAAAGGTGTAGCGCTTTCAAGCTTCACTGATCAGTGACACATGGTGACAGGGCAGTGAAGGGGTTAACTGGAGGATGGGGGGGGGCGAATCAAGGGGTTAAAAACTCAGAAGGTGTACTGGGTAGCTGCGGGCAATCTAGGTCACTCCACACCATCCTCTATCTGGGAGGGGGCAAGGGCTAACTCTATCGAAGTCGCCACCGGGAACACTTGATACAGTGATCAGAAAAATTGGGTTCACTGATCAGTGACACTGGGTGGACAGGGCAGTGAAGGGGTTACACTGGAGGGGGGGGGCAAGATCAAGGGGTTAAACGTGATTGGTGTACTGTTACTTGCGGTGGCAATACAGGCGCTATCTGGGAGGGGGCGCTAACTCAATCGGAAGTCGCCAGCGACACTGATACAGTGATCATAAAAATTGGTTACTCAGATCAGACATACAGGGTTTATCTATTCCCCCTACCCCCCCCACTGCATGCGAAGGGGTTAACTGGGAGGGCGGACTTCTATTCGCTCCCCGATTCCCTTCAAGGGGTTGGGATGGGGTGTGTGTGCTTACTGGCGCACTGTACATTGGCATATTCAATCTGGCGCTATCTGATTCAAAGGAGGGGCGCGTTAACTCTAAGGTTTTTTTGGTTACCTTAGTTAGGTCGCCAGAGGCTACATTTACACTGATCAGTATACCATTGTTATCCCAGGCATTAAATTCGCTATCTGATCAGTGACACTGGTGACAGGGCAGTGAAGGTTTAACTGGAGGGGGGGGGCGATCAGGGGTTAAATGTGTCCTAGAGTGTTCTAACTGTAGTGTAGTGCTTGTGTACTCACTTTTTGGATGTCTTCTTCTCTGTCTGGAACGAATGTGTCCAGGGCATGAGAAGGAATGACATCATATCCTGCCCTGTGTGTATGTCAACACAGGGACAGGATAGGACAGGGTGACGATCATGTGATTTCAGCCAGAAATCACTGGCTGAAATCTAATGATTGATCCCTCCTGGATTTTAAAACAAGTAAATATTATATATACTTTCCTATCTATTTACCAATGCTAGCAACATGAGGATTAAAAATAATCAATGCTGATCGGGAGAGTGAAATTCCATTTTAACTGCAGTGGAGAAAACAGAATTCACCAACCTATACTGTCTGCGGTTTAGATCACATGACTGGCTAAACACACTTAAAATTAAAGCTGCTTTTATTGATGTATTTTAATTTTTAATTGCTAGCTGGAGTTCAGCCATAAATTATACTTTTTAAAAATGCTTAGGTTTCAGGTTGCAAATGCCTTAGAAATTTTGCAATACCTCCCTTTCTCAGTCAAAGTAGGCATGATTTGTAAAATATTTGATCAATCATAGTGCTGGCAATATCTGACTGATATGGTCACCTGAGAGAATTACAAGCACTTACTGTATATTTATCAGAAGACATTAGCAATTCAAATACAAGAGTGTCATGCATAAGATCATGTACAGTAACTTTTGAATAATCACCTCTTACAAAGCTAAACAAATATCTGCTTGCTCAATTATTTAGTAACTGGCCACTTAAGTCTTGGTTCACACTACTACTACCTGAAATTCACGTGACTTGCAGTGCGACTTTGCCAGGCAACTTGAGTACCACTCTGAAGCGACTCTGAAGCAATTCTGAAGCAACTTTCAGGGAATGCCTGGGTAATCTTCTTGTAATGTTGGATTCAAATCACATCAATATAGATGAGGATCTGACTTGGAGGTGACTTCTATTAGAGTAAATGGACACAAGTTGGATATAATTATTATTATTATACAGGATTTATATAGCGCCAACAGTTTGCTCAGAGCTTTACAATATAACAGGAGACAATACAGCAACAATACAGTTCAATACAAGAGGGTTAGGAGGGCCCTGCTCCTTGGAGCTTATAATCTAAGATGGAGGGGCTGGTGGTACAAAAGGTAATAACTGTGGGGGGATGGACTGGTAGGAGGAATAGAAGATTCCATTGTTAGCTGAGGGCAGGATAGGCTTCCCTGAAGAGGCTTTCAGAGATCGCTTTAAAGTGAGCAGAGTAGGTGATAGTCTGATAAATTGGGGTAGAGAGTTCCAGAGGATGGGGGAAGCTCTGGAGAAGTCTTGGAGATGAGAATGGGAGGAGGAGACAAGGGAGCTAGAGAGCAGGAGGTCGTGCGAAGAGCGGAGAGTATGGTTTGGGTGATATTTGGAGACAAGATCGGTGATGTAATTTGGGGCAGAGTTATAAATGGCTTTATACATTATTGTTAGTGTTTTAAATTTTATCCGTTGGGCAGTAGGAAGCCAATGGAGGGATTGGCAGAGAGGGGTGGCAGATATGGAACGGTTGGTATGGTGGATGAGTCTGGCAGCAGCATTCATGATAGGCTGAAGAGGGGATAGCCTGCGATGAGGTATACCAATGAGGAGGGAGTTACAATAGTCAAGGCGAGAGATAACCAGGGAATGAATATGTTGCTTAGTAGTTTCCGAGGTTAAGAACGGGGGTATCTTGGAGATGTTGTGGAGGTGAAGTCTACAAGATTTGGACAGTGATTGGATTTGGGGCTGAAAGGACAAATGGGAGTCTAGCATTACACCTAGTACCCTTGAAGTAGTACAGGAACCTTTTCTAAAGTTGGAGCGACTTCAGCAGTGCTAATTAAGACAGCTCTCATTGACTAACATGGGATTTCACATGTCATGTGACTTGGGGTCTGACAAGTTGGATCCCAAGTGGCGGCAGTGTGAACCAAGTCTAGTAGCTGAGTATCCTCCAAAAATGTCTAAACATATACTGTATACTGTATGCACATTATCTTTGCTGTATGGGTGTCCTAACTGGATGACGCAGAACTCTGAGACATTGAATTGTCTGGCAAGGTGTTTAGTCTGCTAAATACAGCAGAATCCTTGTACTGTAAGTGACTGAGTGCATATTCCAGTATACTTATTGAATCATTCTCTGTCTAGCCATTGAGTAAAAGAATTTGCATGCAGTCAGACAAAACATGGTCCATTTTTCATATCATTTTTAAAACCTGGGACATTCAGATTAAATTGAATGGAAAACAGCATTAGGGCAGACGATGTGTTTTATGGATCAATAACACTACTTTTTGTGACTGTTCTGTACCAGGGTGAAGGCTCTTCTCTTCCTCCTACACTAGCAGACTGTCTGCGGCCTGATGGTAGAGTCCCAGAGGAAAGCAGCCAGAAATGTTCAGACTACAAGCCAGGGATGAATGTTACCCACAGCTTCCTCCATCCTCCCAGTAAGTACACTTCTTTAAATAGATATTTGTGAAAGCTTTAATCATCTGGATGTGGCTGAGCAATATGTCTAAACCCATTACAAAACAACACCATTGCCGGTTGTGGGTGCTCATGTGGACTGGCAAAGATTTCCCTTTGGTTTGTTCATGTTGAAAACACATAGACATCTTCTGAAGAATAAACGACAAATTAAGTTAACATGTCACAATGCGCTGCTTCTGCTGAAGAATCCCAAAGATATGGAACAAATTCTATTTATATGCAGCTTTTGGCAAGATAAGTTACACTTGTAAAGGCACTTTCCAATCCGATCTCCTAAAGTACTTTGCTGGAGTTTACCAAGAACAGATATTTAATGTCTGTACAATATACATTTGCACAAATACTTGACTGCGTCATCTAAGAAATTCTTATAAAATCTTTTGATAATGATGATAGAATTCGGATCATTATAATTTCATGTGAACTGCAACAACATACTGTAATGTTCTGTACTCAGTGCACAGGAATGGTGTACTAGGTGCTTAAAACTGAACTCCAATCTAAAATGGAAACTAATTTAAATATATGCGGGGACCATTTCACCTGCCATCGGATGACTTTATTCTGCCCCTCCCTCTTAGCATGTCACATGTGCATGCAGGACACCTGATTGGCTTCAAGTATTGCTGCTCACTCACTGTATCTGAGTGCTGCTTTACAAGATGTTGTAATTCTTTTTCAGTTACTAGCTGAATTAGAATGACATTTGCATATGTTTTTAATTAAGTAAGTAAATACCCAACTGCATATATTCAAGTTTGAAGTTGAGCTTTAACTTTGCAAAACGACATGGCCTTTCAAGTAATAGGAGCTGTCTTAACAGCTTTCCCACCATCCTATAGCAGAAATACCGCTACAGGGCGACAGGGGTAAATCATGTCTATATACGTGATTTTGCATTTCCGGGTAGGGGGCCTACCCCCTACCTGCACCGCCATTGGCGGCCTCACCTGTCAATCACTGGGTCCCGGCCGGTGATTCCCCACCAACCCCCGGTGGTCACCGCGTATCACCGGCGGGGAGAGACCTGTATGTAAACAATACAGATCTCTCCCCTGTCAGCTCCTGCTCACTACTTTGTATGGCTCTGCATAGCATAGCAGAGCCATACAAAGCAGTGAGCTCACAGTGTAAAGCACACACAGCACACAGAAAAAAAAAAAAAAAAGCACACAGTTAACCCTTTGATCACCCCAGATGTTAACACCTTCATGCCCAGTGGCATTAGTACAGTGTTAGTGCTTTTTATTAACACTGATCACTGTATTGGTGTCACTAGGGATGTCAGTGACAGTTAGTCAGTTCATCTCCAGTGTCAGAATGCCCGCCGCAGTCCTGCTATAAGTCGCTGATCGCCGCTATTACTAGTATATAACAAAAAAAAATCCAGTATCCATACCGCCATTTGTAAACGCTATAGCTTTCACGTAAACCAATGAATTTACACGTATTGAGAGGTTTTTTTTTTTAGCAAAGACATATAGCAGAATACATTTTGTCCTAAATTTATGACGAAATTTGATTTTTAAAATTTTTTTACTGGACATGTTTAATAACAAAAAGTCAAAAATATTGTTTTTTTCTCAAAATTGGTATTTTTTTTAATAGCGCACTAAAAAAAAAATGCAAAGGTGATCAAATACCCCAGAAGTAAAGCACTATTTGTGGGAACAAATGGATGTAAATTGAATTTGGATGCAGAATTGCATGACCGCGTAATTGTCAGTTAAAGTAACGCAGCGCCATATCGCAAAAAATGGCCTGGTCAGGAAAGGGGGTAAATCCTCTGGAGGGCAAGTGGTTAATAAATAGCACTCCTCCCACCTGGGCAGTGTAGGATGGCCCTCTACACTGACTCAGATGGCTCACATCTAACATCTCAGGATGGGACCTTGGGTAATTTGGGGGTAAAACAACAGTCATTTTAACCTTTCAATAGCTTATTCTCTCAATAAACGAATGGAGAGACGGTTAGGGGCACAAATATCCTGTGGCTTCTAGTAACAGCAAAATGTATGGTGGCAATTTAAGTGCAGATGTTTAATAGTACTTGGCCAAGTGAGTGGCAGTGACTCCATTTGTGAGAACGAGTAGCTGCCTGTAGCAGCCCTTTATTAGTGGTTCGCTCCTTGAGAGCAGCCAGTTTAGATAGTAGTGACCCTATATGTGAGAGCAGCTAATTCACCTTAAAGGAATAGTCCCCTTTAGGTAAAATGACATGCAGACAAGGGGCCCCAGGACATTATAATTAATTTCCCTTATATGCAAAGTACAGTGTAAAGAGATTGGCACACTGCAGGCCTTTGCAGGCAAATCCTGCTCTAGAAAATCCTTGCATGCCATAACTTTTTCATCTGTAATTAGACAGTAATTAGACAGAATGTCTAATTACTGTCTGTACTAGCCAGGGTCCTCTGCCCCTCCCTTCACCTCCTTACATAGCCTTTTATGTAACTGCCGGGGATGGAGCATAGGGGAATACTATAAAGTCACATCTGCGAATGACAGCTCTAGTCTGCTGCAGCTACTGACATCACAATCAAGATGGCGGCACCCACCAGCAGTCTTGGGTCTTTTGCAGGTCTACACAAGAGAAGCTTGTACTGGTAAATGCACATATGTTCTTATGGGACTATTTTTGTTGAAATGATTGGTCTGGTATCAGGGTCTGCAAAACTACATTTATCATAAGGCAATTATGGGCTGTCTAGGAGAGAGATTATGAGGGGGCAACACAAAGCTTCCAACCAACTAAATAGTGGTTACTTTTCCATTCCATAGACATGTGTGCAGAGGTCCAGCAATATCCTGTTAAAAGAAAAGGGTGCAGGTGCTATTGACAAGAGTCATTGGACTGTTCTCAGCTCAGGCAACATACAACTGACCTTCCTCTTACTTGGACAACTGAACATTTAAAAAGTTGCATGTACTGCATATAGCAAACAGTGTACAGTTAAGCCTGTGAAAAGTCATAACTACATGGCAATAGGAGTAAAACCTATAAAAACGGTATAGTAATACAGTCTGGGTAAAGCTGTGTAGTAGATAAATCTTAGATTTCAGGTATATGTGTGACCTGAAGTAGTGAACATTTTGATGAAAGCACAAAGCTTGATTTTCCTTTATCTGTATTGCTTTACTCTTGTCAAGAACTACATTTTCCATAGCTCTAGTTACATAGGCATACACTTCTTTATGCTCTTGTCATGATACTGTAGGTCTTTAATTCTTTGCTAATGCATAAAATGTGTAAACATAAAGACTTTATATCATTTCTTATCCAAGTGTTGTTTATGAATTTGTTTTTATTTTTCTCTGCAGACTTCAACAGCAGTGAAGTTGAACAATATGACTCTCTTATCACAAGTAACCTTGTTCCCATGTACATGGAATTCTTAAGTAAGTGCATGTTTTTTTTATCTCATGCATCCTGCTTTTAAAGTATTCCTGCAGACAAGGCTACTTTCACACTGATACACCGTAAAAAAACACATAAAAACCGCGTAGGAGTTTTTACTGCATTTTCTGAGCATTTTTTAAAGGACACGTGACTTAAAAACTGCACCAAAAATGCTTCCCAGAGGTGTTTTCAGGCGTTTTCCATTGATTTCAATGGGAAGAGGCATTTCTGGGGTTTTTTTTTAACTCACCAAACACGCACCAAAAATGCTGCAAGCAGGAGTTTTTACACCGCACCGCAATCACAACGCCTCAGTGTGAAAACATACATACAGTGGGGATCGAAAGTTTGGGCACCCCAGCTAAAAGTTTGTATTAATGTGCATAAAGAAGCCAAGGAAAGATGGAAAAATCTTCAAAAGGCATCAAATGACAGATTAGACATTCTTATAATATGTCAACAAAAGTTAGATTTTATTTCCATCATTTACACTTTCAAAATAACAGAAAACAAAAAAATGGCGTCTGCAAAAGTTTGGGCACCCTGCAGAGTTAATATCTTGTACTGCCCCCTTTGGCAAGTATCACAGCTTGTTAACGCTTTTTGTAGCCAGCCAAGAGTCTTTCAATTCTTGTTTGAGGTATCTTTGCCCATTCTTCCTTACAAAAGTCTTCCAGTTCTTTGAGATTTCTGGGCTGTCTGTCACGCACTGCTCTTTTAAGGTCTATCCATAGATTTTCAATTATGTTGAGGTCAGGAGATTGTGAAGGCCATGGCAAAACCTTCAGTTTACGCCTCTTGATGTAATCCCCCGTGGATTTCGAGGTGTGTTTAGGATCATTATCCATTTGTAGAAGCCACCCTCTCTTTAACTTCAGCTTTTTCACAGATGGCATCAAGTTACCATCCAAAATTTGCTGAAATTTTATTGAATCCATTTTTCCTTCTACTCGTGAGATGTTCCCTGTGCCACTGGCTGCAACACAACCCCAAAGCATGATTGATCCAACCCCATGCTTAACAGTTGGACAGAGGTTCTTTTCATTAAATTCTGTGCCCCTTCTTCTCCAAACGTACCTTTGCTCATTCCGGCCAAAAAGTTCAATTTTAACCTCATCGGTCCACAGAACTTGTTTCCAAAAGGCATCAGGCTTGTCCATATGTTCATTTGCAAAGTTCAAACGATGATTTTTGTGGTGAGGACATAGAAGAGGTTTTCTTCTGATGACTCTTCCATGAAGACCATATTTGTACAAGTATTTCTTTATAGTGGAATAGTGTACCACAACTCCAGTGTCTGCCAGATCTTTCTGGAGGGATCGTGCAGTCAAACGTGGGTTTTGAATTGTTTTTCTCACAATCCTGCGAGCTGTTCTGTCTGATATTTTTCTTGGTCTTCCAGATCTTGCTTTAACTTCCACTGTTCCTGATGACTGCCATTTCTTAATTACATTCCAAACAGAGGATATTGACATCTGAAAACGCTTTGCTATCTTCTTATAGCCTTCTCCAGCTTTGTGAGCGTCAACTATTTTCAGTTTCAGTTTTCTAGACAACTGCTTAGAAGAACCCATGGTGCTGATTGTTGGGGCAAGGTCAGATGAGTCTGGGCATTTAAAACCTTTGAGATTGACATCACCTGGTCTTCCCAGACGATGATTAAGAACAATCCATGACACTGGCAGGTCTCAGCTTTGCAAAGGGGGCAGTGCATGCTATAAATTCTGCAGGGTGCCCAAACTTTTGCAGATGCCATTTTTTTGTTTTCTGTTATTTTGAAAGTGTAAATGATGGAAATAAAATCTAACTTTGGTTGACATATTATAAGAATGTCTAATCTGTAATTTGATGCCTTTTGGAGATTTTTCCATCTTTCCTTGGCTTCTTTATGCACATTAATACAAATTTTTAGCTGGGGTGCCCAAACTTTCGATCCACACTGTAGATATACATTCACATAGGGAAGCATTTTTCTTTAGCTTTTCAGGCACTTTTTTAAACGCAAAAATGCTTCAAAACCTCCTCAATGTGAAAGTAACCTAACAGGTTTCTATTGTGGACAGCAGGATTGGTTTATGAGTAGCATTTTTTTCATGTGTTCATTTTATACGTTCAAATGTGCTGGGAAATTGAAAAAATAGAGGCTTCTTTTGCACATGATTTGATAATGGATGTGAATCCAACTTCAATGAGGTAAGTGAGAAATATACGCCTTTAGTAAATCAACCAAAGTTGTGAACTGAATACATAACTAAGGACAGAAAGTAATTTATCAGTGATTTATTGGACATCTACCGTATATCTTGTACAATATGCAAGAAAACATATATTCTCATAAAACATCACATCCAGGGGCGGACTGACCTTTTGGAAACTCGGGCACTGCCCGAGGGCCTGGGATCAGTAGGGGGCCCCATGAGATGTCCCTGGTACCTTTTTTATAGGCTTTTTTGAGTTTGGGCAAGGACACAGGGGCCCTATGATCCCCTATTGCCTGGGGGCCCCATGAGTTGTCAGTCTGCCCCTGATCACATCATTTGTTTTATGAATATCTATAGCATAATATATATGTATAATATATATATATATATATATATATATATATATATACTGTATGTATATTTGTGTATTGTTTGACATATGGGCACCTCAAAAATCACTCATAAATCTCCCTTCTGTCTTTAGTTATATACTGATCTGGGATGTGGAATAGTGCCCCATAATTGGTGTCAGAACTAGAATTAGTTTTCCATTTCTGGTGTCAGTGGGGGTATTATTACTCCTTTGTTGGTGTCAGTGGGAGGAAAAAGTGTCCCATTTTCAAGGTTACTGAAATAAATAATGCCTTGTATCAGTGGAAAAAATAGTGCCCCAAGGGCTGGATAGAAGCAAGCAAAGGGCCACAGCTGGCCCATGGGCCTCAGTTTGGAGACCTCTGCCCTAGACTAAAGGAGCAGTGAAGTTGGGCTTAGGCCTCATTCACACTGCCATAAAAAAAATTTACTGATATTATTACACATGTTTACTAGGAGAAAAGTTCCTGCGTAATGATCTGTAAAATACTTACATGTGTACAGGATATGTTTTTATAATAATTTATTTTTCCCTTTTGTTTAGACTTAATTTACATGCTTACAAATGCATATACAGTACATGCATTTATATGCATAGAGCAAATTTTCTTAGATGCAGATTTTTGGATTCTGTGTTATGGATCTGAAAGCAGCTTATGTTTACCCACATGTGTGAATGGCTCTATTGAAAACAATGCAGCTGCATTCAGATCCATAATTTAAAAACACTTGTATATGCATTTTTGTTTACATGAATGAACCCTTAAAGCTGCATGTCAAGCCCAAAACGTTCATTTTACTTGACAAAATTAAGGGAAAATCTACACCTTGGACACTTTTGTAGACATGTAGTAAAGACCTGATAGGGGATTCTAGTGTTCCCATACTGTATTAAAAAAGTATTTTTAAATTTTTGCCTGTGTTTCTGCTGGAGAAAAGGTTCCTTGAACCAGGCAGTATCATATTGTGTGGCAGTGTTCATAAGCTTTGCAGTTACTACAAAAGTCAGGAGTCCAAGGTCCAGATAGTTAAAGTGATACTAAACCCAAAACCAAAAAACACAACATATCATGGCAGCTTACCAATATCAACCATTAGATGTGGTGACTGCATTCATTTTTTCTTATAGCCTTTTCCCCTCTGTTTTCACCTGGTGATCTGGCCAGTAACACACCTCCTGTATTAGAGTGCCCCCACTCTGGATGAATGAGCCAGGGGCACATTTGAACAGCAGCATTGTCATTCTGGGGGGAATGTTAGATGTACTCGCATATTTACATACACTAACAAATTGAAGCCAAACTCCAGCTAATACATTTTAACCACCTCCCGCCCGCCATATAGTAATATGACGTGCGCAAGGTGGTTCTCTCGTTCTGGGAGGACGTCATATGACGTCCTTCCATTCTCACTGTGCTTGCAAGGCTCAGGGAGCGCGCAGCGCGGCGTTCGGCAGTGCGCTGTGTCCCTCACACAGCGGATCACCGATCACGGAAAGAGCTGAAGATGTCGGCTCGGTCATGTGATCAGCTGTGTCCAATCACAGCTGATCGCATGTAAATAGGGAAATGCCGGTAATCGGCTTTCCGCGGAGGGGACATGTACACTGATCATCAGGGCACTGATGATCAGTGTGCCCTGATGATCAGTGTAGCCCCAGCAGTGCTACCTGTCAGTGTCCATCAGTGCCTTGTGTCAGTGCTCATCAGTGCCTCGTGCCAGTGCCCATCAGTGCCACATCAGTGCCACATATCAGTGCCTACCAGTGCACATCAATGCCACATATCAGTGCCCATCTGAGCTGCCTTTCAGTGCCAGTCAGTGCCACCTATCAATGCCAATCAGTGCCACCTATCAGTGCCACCTATCAGTGCTGCCAATCAGTGCCAGTCAGTGCTGCCCATCAGTGCCAGTCAGTGCTGCCCATCAGTGCCAGTCAGTGCTGCCTATCAGTGTGCATCAGTGCCGCCTAACAGTGCCAGTCAGTGCCGCCTATCAGTGCCAGTCAGTGCTGCCTATCAGTACTGCCTGTCAGTGCCATATCTCAGTGCCATGTATCAGTGCTGCCTTTCAGTGCCCATCAGTGATGCCTGTCAATGCCCATCAGTGTCACCTACCAGTGCCTCCTCCTCAGTGCCCATCAGTGCCACCTATCAGTGCAGCCTATCAGTGCCCATCAGTGCAGCCTCATTAGCGCACATCAGTGAAGGAGAAAAATCACCTATTTACAAAATGTTATAACAAAAACTAAGAAAAAACTTTAACATTTTTCATTGTTTTTTGGTTTGTTTAAGAAAAAATAAATAACCCAGAGGTGATTAAATACCACCAAAATAAAGCTCTATCTGTCACAAAAAAAATGATAAAAATTTCATATGGGTACAGTGTTGCATGACCGCACAATTGTCAATCAAAGTGTGACAGCG